CCACAGAGCAGAATGTTTGAAGTAGAAATGTATGGCGGGCACAGTGATGGACATGTCCCACCCCTGAAATCTGTGTATATGTCACAAAGGGAATTAAGGGCATGAAGGAATGAAAAGGTTGGAAATTGAATCCAGGTACTAGTCAGCTAATCTTAAAATAGAGGCATTTTTCTGGATTACCCAAGTGGGCCCAATGTAACCACAAGGGTCTCTAAGAGTCTAAGGAGGGCATAACTAAGAAGAAAGGTACAGAGACACAACATTGCTGACTTTGAAGATAAAGAGGACCAAGAAGCCAAGACTGGGGGTGAGCTGGAGAGCTTAAGGAAATGTATTGTCCCTGGGGCTTCTGGGAGGATAGCCATTCTGGAACCCAAACCCGCATCAGACTTCTGGCCTCCAGAACGATAAGAAAAGCATTTTAAGCTGAATTTGTGGTGGTTTGGTACAGCAGCAATAGGAGACCAGTGCAGGCTTGCTCTAGAAGTTAGGAACACTCTGTACACGCTTTTGGTCTAGAAAACTTTTTTACTGCTTCCACATGGCACCTAAACATATTGTACTTGGTGGTTAAGTTAGAAAAAAGCGAGGCTAGAGCTCAGCAAGTAAAGTGAGAATTAGGAGAGAGATAAAGCAACGTGTTGTAAAGATAGCAGTCAAGGAATTGTAAATCAAGTTCAAATGCAGGCTAACTTCCTCTGATCAGTGGATCCAAAATAAAGGTGATTTAGTATGCTATTTCAGTATTAGCTTTGTTTATTTTTCAGAGCAATAGCTTATGTATTTTAAATAACTGGTATGCCACAAGTTGTAACTTTTATAATCTGAATAAATGTTTAAATCTTTAAGGAAGATGTGGGTGCTGAGTAATGATAAGGGATATATAATATGCAAGTCTGTTTGTAAAGTAATAATTTTGAAATATATATATATCTCTGTGCTAACAAACCTGTAAGCTGAAGACCATTGTAGGAGACCACATCAATTACCGTTGAAAAAGAATTCCCAACAGAATTAGATCTTTTTACAAATAAAAATATCAGTAGTCTAGAATCTATTATTTTAGTGACTGGCACTAGAGGGTGCTGTAACCTTTACAGAAGATAAACATCCCGCCCTCAAACACTTCCTAGAGAATTTTTTTTTTTTTTTTTTTTTTTTTTTTTTTAAGAATACAACATTGCAGGGAAGAAAATGACCACCAGTAGTATATTTTCTTTTTTTTCCATGTAATTTTACTATGTATATATTATTTCACCTTGTTTTTATTTTTGTCTTACAAGTCAACTTCAAAAAAATAAAGCAGGAGAAATGAGCTGTGACAGTTTTCAGAATAATCCAAGAGGGTAGGTGACAGAGAACGAACGCACAATGAAATTGAAGGTGTCATTTCCACATTAACATCTTGCCCCCAAAGACCATGCAGTGCTACAAGTCACATCACCCTCATGCAAGGACATTAACATCCAGGGTGACTTAGAATCTCGGTTTTATTATGGGATACTAAGTGTTTCCATGGGGCATGCTTCCCCTCTGGACTCAAAGAAATACCAATACAGAGCAGGTGAGTGCCCTCATAGCAAGAGAAATGCAAGAACTATCTTTTTAAACAAAATCCATTTTCTTAAATGTTTTCTCTGTGGCCTGTGGTAACATTGGGGAAGAGTATTGAAAGGTGTGCAGAGGATGCAAGAAGACAGCTTCCTGTCTCACCATGTTGAGAAACATGTAGCCGCTCAATATCCGGTTCCCTGAGATTGGCGTCATAGTGTGAACCCGGAACTGTCCCCTCCCTGGTCCATTTCACATGGGTTGTCACAGTCCAGTTTCAGGGTTTCCCTTTTCAACTCCACATCCCAAAAGCCCGGGCAGGACAGTCACCTCACATTTCCAAGACTTGGTTTCTCTTGTGAGATAAATATACAAGAAAATTGGAAGGGAAATGAATGGGAACACTCCAATCAAATACCATATTCAACTAGCCTGAAGAAGAGATGCATCCTAAAACTTTGTTTGGACATGGCAGCTCTTCAATAAATATTGATAGTAACTTTCAGACAGGCAGCTGGTGTGCTTAAATTGCTCCCTAACTCTTCGGTGTGGCTGTACGAAAATATTACCTTTCCATGTCATCTCTCTGAAAAGTACATTTTCTTTTTACGTTTTACCTCTGGTTTTGTTTGTGATTTAAAGGCTCTCTGGGGAAATTAACCTCATAATTACGTGACTGGTGGCCCCTTGCCACTAAGCTCGGTCTCCGACATCTCCTGACACTCTTTGAAAGGAAAACAAAAAAATACGCTCCACTTCTTGAAGTCTATCTCTTTCATCCAACGATCTCACAACACCTCACAAGCAGCAGACTTTTCAGAAGGCAGGCAAGGAAGCTCACAGAGTGCTTAGGTTAAACCCCAATTCACCGTCAATGGGTCACTGAGGGAGGGACAGTAACCTGTGGGAAGAGACTGTGTTCAAGGAAAAGAAGGCTCCCTCCTCCCTTCCCCAGGGGGAATCCAATGGATGACTTTGCAAAAGCCACCACTGCGTGTGCCCATTTCAACACAAAGACATGGGCACTCCAAGTCCAACTACTTGGACGCAACAGTGACTGAACAAAGTAAGGAGAGAGGGAGGAACAAGTTCAAGTCCTGGCTATACCACCTGGGCTCTTTCCAGCACCTCACCTGTCAGAGTATGTTTCCTAGCTCCATCAGACAGAGTAGTACTAAACCACAATCATTCCATGAAGACCACTGGGGGGGGGGGGGGGGAGGGGAGGAGCCTGAAACACACTGTTTGCAAACTATAAAGTGCTTCATATATAAAAGGCATTGGTTCACATTGAAATCTCACTTAAGTTCTTTCTTAGGTTTCCTGGAGTCTACAAAAGTATGCTTTATGATTCTTCTTGATACTATGCTGGGATTGTAGCAGAACTAAGAATTATTAAAAGCAAAAAAGATGGGACCCAAGAATGTTATCATCTAATTTAGCGTGTGCTGTGATGGAAGGTATCATACATAGCAGGCACCATTTTGGGTCTACAGACTAACAACGGTGAGAAATGGTCCTCCCACCAACCCCAAGGAGGAGTCTGATCCTGATGCCAAACAGTAGAAGGTGCCCAAAGGTTTTAGACCTGGTTATGCTTAGAGATTCTCCAATCCCTTACTGAACAGCCATGGTTCTGGGTCATTCCACAGTCCTCAGACCCTATGTCTACAGGTGTGGGTAGAGCAGTCTCCCCTTAAGGGAACTTTGGTCTAGGAGAGCAGGATGCAAATGGTACAGTTCAGTTTAACTTCCATTTGGGGAGATTCTGCACGGTGGCTGCTTTAACTAACACAGCAAACGCTTCTAGACTAACTCGACTTTGAAAAATAACTGAATGGCTTGACTAAGTAATGCCATGAACCTACTTTGCCTCTGGATGGTTCTAAGGAAATGTCTACCAAAAGGTCAGTTAAATATGTATAATAAAAAGCCAAAATAGAACACTGAAATATATCCCAAGCCCTGGTTAAACGCTTTTGCAAGAATTCAATTTAGGGGAAAACAAGCAAACAAACAAACAAAAAACAACTCGTGGAATGTATACATTGGTGCTGGGTACCAGAGAACCAAGGTGGAGAACAGTACGTCAGACTCCATTATCATTTCCTCCATTACCTCTCCTTCCCTCCACATGTGACTGACATTGTGCATCCTCCACAATCAATGCTCTAACAACTGCTAAATGGTCATTTCCAGAGGAGAGATGAAAGCATCAGCCTCTCCTACCAGAAGCTCCAGGTCCCAATCTGAAGACATGAATGCTTACTTCTCTCCAGTGCCAACAGTAACTCATCACGGACCATGCGCCCACTTCTGTGGGCCTGTGACGTCACCCAGCATGGTCCACTTGGTAAGGGAGCTTTGAAGAATTTGCTGGGCTAAATCTTACACAGGCTTCTAACACTTTCCAACACTACAGGTTGCTTCCTCTTTTGTGTGTGTGTGTGTGTGTGTGTGTGTGTGTGTGTGTGTGTGTTTCTGGTTTGATTTTTTTTTCTTTCCTGATTCTTAGGTTGGTGTTTTCTTTTTTGTTTTTGTTTTGTTTTTTGGAGGGTTTTTTTTGCAAAATATTAAGACTTCTTAGTAAAGCTTGGGAAAATATTCAACCACTATTTCCATTTAGTTTACAGATAAAATTCAGGGGTTATTTCCATTTGAATATCAAGCCATGATTAAATGTTATACAGAAAACTGTTATGCTGACCATTTGCTAGGGATAGGGCCAAAGTGGGGTTTTGGTGGTTTATGGTTACTTTTATGGTGAAAAATATTCATGATGATCAGTAAGAAGAGACTTTCATATTGCTTCTCTAATAAAATTAGTTCTCTTTAACAAAAGACCCCTAAATTTCTACTTGTCTTTAGACAAAAGACTACATTAGTTGTGTTTCATTTGGTTTAGGGCATAAATGCCATAAGATTTAAAGTTTATTTACCCAAAGGGATAATGTAAGATCAAAGTCTATTTCCAGTTAAGACAGTGACTTAAAACAGAAATTTAAAACCTCTGCAGGGAGAAAGGGAGGTTGGGGGTAAGGAAGGGAGAGAGGGAAAGGGGGAGGGAGGGAGGGAGGGAGGAAGGGAGGGAAGGAGGAAGAGATAAATCAGAAAATGAAAGATAATTATTGCATGCCCCCTCATTGATCCCATAATATTTCCTGAGCATTCCTCATACATTATATATGTAATAACTATAATTAATCAATCAATAGTATTTCTATTTTTCTCAAGCAAAAATGTATATCCTTTGAGAATATATACTGAGCAAAACATAGAATAGTATATCATCTTTTAAAACACTAGTAATTTGAACTTCTATAAATATACTTAAATAACAAACATTATAGATGGCTATTCACATAGGACACAATGCGACGTAAACGTACAAAAATAAAACAATCATGTTTGAACTCTTTTGCTGTTTTTGTTGGCTGGTTGTTGTTTTGGGAGTAAAGGTATTTAAACAATTCAGATAACAGAATGATCTCATCAATATTTATCTGGGGGAGCCTAGATATAAAGTTATACTGTGCATCGGCACACACCCAAAGACAAAGGCAGCAACCATTCCTATGGGACCTTTTACTGTCCCCTACAGGGGCTCAGGAATGCTGGGAAGGAGTAGAGGCCTCCCAAGTTATGAGACATTTTTGTTAGCTGTTCTGTGGAAAGGAAATATAATCAGATCCCACCCCACCCCCAGCTGGTGAAGTGTGAGGCCATCAAGCTGTCCTTTGAGTGAGGGGAACACAAAGCATGCCTCCTTCTCGGGTTCTCCCACACCCCACTCGCTATGAAGTGTTTCTCCACTCGTGGAAAAGGTACCACCATTCTGGACCAGGGGTAGGGGATTTCAGTTCCACAAAAACATCTGTCCTGTTCCAGTTGCTGCCATGGAAAACATTCCTTCATCCAACAAAACGATTTGGAGAATTCAGTAGAATTGGAGAGCTGAACATTTCTATGGTAAAAGAGTGATCTTTGTCCACAGAACGTTGTAATTCTCTTGAGAGCAGGGAACAGTGTTTTCACATTGCACCTAGAGTCTGGCATAACTGAGCTCCCAGCAGGAACACAAGGACTGTTCAACTGGGCTCCATCCCTCCGGTCTCCATGGGAACGCCACACCTGGAAGGATTCCTGCTGCTCCTGGTATTGGTCCTCACCAAGACTGCATCTCTACAGGAAGCTGATACTTGAGGACATGGTCTCAGTTTTCTTACTGTGAGCTCTGGTAACATCCTGAAGAGTTGCCTGGAGGCGGGTGGGGGTGGGCAGAGAATGCTGGCTTGATGTCCAAACAGAACTTTCAACAGAGGCAGAGGATGGTGGTTTCTGGAGTCCCTAGGGGGAGCCTGCAGGGGCCGATGCAGATGCAGGGTCCTGCTGCTGCTGATAGATGTCCTGAATCAGCATGGTGTTCATGACCTTCCACTCCCGGTATTTTCTGGCTGTCAGCTTCGGATCATCCAGCAACTGGTTAATCATGGCCAGGTCATGTTCTTTACACTGTCCAAGTAGAAAAAAAAAAGGGGGGGGGGGGGGGGGGGTGGGGGAGGTTGTAGTGAATATCTCAATTTCAATAAGCCACCTTCATCTATTTTACAAATAAGTGCACATACACATTCATCAAAATTATCAAAGTGTGTTTACACATTAATATTCAAATCCCTACAACAACCCTAAGATATATGGCAGGACAACTGTAAGTATCCTACCCAATGGAAGAATTAGACATTCAGCCAAGGTCTCCTATGTGACTCTTCTCTGATTAATCCATTTTTGCACACCACAGTGATAGTTCTGTCTCAGTGTGACCATTATTCCTTCCGAAACTCATAACTCTATCATTATTTCATTGGCTAGCCAACTTCACCAAGTAAAATGGAAAACAGTGCTTTCCCTAAGATATAAGATAATAAAAAATATATTTTTATTTTATCTTAATTTTTAATAAATCACACATTTATTTAATTAATATATGCAGAATATTTATATAGGCCTTTCTTTTAATTCAAAGACTACTAACCTTCCATGAAAACAGTATATACTGGTGCCTAACAGAGTATAGAATCTACTCCTATTAATTTACATTTCACCCTGCCTCCTCTGTAATCAATGACACACATTTCTGAAATGTCGGACCCAGGTTAGGGAAGTTTTTTGTAGTCAAGAAATGAGGTAAAAATAAGATGCAACAGCTTCCAGATTCAAAAAAAAAAAAAAAAAAAAAAAAAAAAAAGATGGTTCAGTCCTAACAATTTTATCTCAAATCTATTCTTCCTTCCTCTATCCCTATGACTATCACACCAATTTCAGATACTAAGTCCAATATACCACACTCTACCTGCTGTACAGCCTCCTAAAGGAGTCCCTGTCGCTAATCTCCACTTCAGATCCACCTTTTGCATGGCAGTGCTGGGATCCACCTAAAATACTGAGTCCCTTTAACGGTTCATCTTCACATCCCCTGTTCCATGGGCTGGTGAACCATTTGTTGCTCACTATGTTATGCTTAGATACTCATGGATTCCTCAGACAACTTTTCTAAAGCTTTGTAAGGAAGGTGATAATTAACATGGAATTCATTGCTGTGTTTTTTATACCTAACACACAATGCCAATTGCAGGAAGACATTCAACACATAAATATTAATGAACCACTCTCTCTACCTGCCTCTAGGATAGCCTGTGTGTAGCTAAAAATTTACAGCTGTGATCATTGGTTACAGTTCAAATTCATAACCACTGCCATTAAGTGGACTTTCATCACGTTTTCTCATCCCTTTCCTCTCTCACTCTTCCAAAGGACTAGTTCAAAACTTCCTCTGCCTATTCAAGCCTTGCCCCTATCTTCCCTTACAGCTGATGACCTTGTTCAATTTTTTTTTAGGAAAAGAAACAATGAGAATATTTCTCCCCAGTTCCTATTGCCCACTACCTACATCTACATAATTATTTTACTCAAATTCCATCTATCAAAGATTTTCATGCCTATCCTAATTAATAAGTGATCCCTCAACATTCTTTATACCCCTTCTCTTCTCTATAAATCTATCATTACTTTGTACACTATAAAATTACTTACTTTGTTTATTTCTCCCTCTACCTAAATATAGCTTCATGAGGGCAGGCAATTTTGTATGACATATCCACTGCTATGTCCCCCAGGACTTGAAAGAATGCTGACACATGGTGGACATTCACTAAATACTTGTTGAAAAATTAATATGTGAAATAAGAAATGAATGAATAAACTACTTATTCATTTGCTTTTTAATTTCTCTTGTATCATGAACCCTATTTGGAGCCCAAAAAGAATCCTCTCCAAACAAAAATATTTTTATACATGATACACACACACACACACATAGGATTAGGAATTAGTAAATCCTACATAATTAAAGGCAGAACAACCTGTCACTATGATTTGCACCAACCACCATGGGACAGACTCTCAATGCAGACTCTTAATGTGCTCATGGCTGGTGAGCACAGTGGCAGTGATGGGAGCCTCTCTTTCCTCCCATATCAAACATCCCCTGAGGGCTTCCAGACTGCAAGAGGGCACAGGCCAGGCTGAGGGACCCCCCTGAGTGCATGAATTTCATGCACCGGGCCTCTAATATATATCTTATTATATATTATATATCACACATCTATATCTGTATAACTATACAGACATTTCCACATAGTTTTAAGAATTCTAGAATTGTCAGCATTTGTTTTATCCAAATGAAGTATCTGGTCATAGATGATCACAAATGTAGTGGCACTCAAATCTATTGTTTTATTACATTTTTCTTGTTTGCTTCTTTTCTAGTTTCTATATTGGCCAGGATAATATAGATTTCAAGAGAAAAGTATCTCTCCCCCTCACCCTCCAGAAGTCTGAGTGATGAGATTTATAATCTTGAATCAAGTGAATAAGGATGTGATAATATATGAAGATCAAGAGATATATTTAGATTTAAGAAAAGAGAAAAAATTTTTCAGTAGGAAAGTAATCAAAGAAGGACAGATAACAAGCAGGCTGGCCAGGACCCAGAAGCAGAGAAAGGAGGCGAAGTAAGTGGGTAACTGGGAAGGATTACTGGCAGAATGTCAAGCCAGGGTCAAGGAAGTTTTCTTTCTTCTCTCTGAGTTCTCAACATTTATGCTTCCATCAAAAAAAAAAAATTATTTTTTAAAAAAGAGCTTTCATCCTCTAACACCATAGTGCTATTCATATGAAGTTATTTAAGGATTCTTCCTTTTGCTCTAAAGAAATTTTGTCATCTGTTTACCAGAGAGATCCTAATATTTTATTGAAAAACAAGATCTTTGCAGTTGAACAAAATTTGGAAAATAAATTGTTAAAGGCAAAAATGCACTAATCATCCCTCTAAATCTGATAAAAGGTTTTGGAAAGGGTCTCCAACTTTGGGCTAACACCACATATTTTATAATTCTAAACAATCCAAATGTTTTACCATTTGGCTCAAGTCTGTATTAGTTTGTAATGGATAAAAGAAAAACACTGTAGACAAGAATTCAGAGGAAGAGAATTATGAAACAACAAACCCTCTAAGCTCCCTCCTAGACCCAGCACCCTGGACTCATCAGCATCACACTGGGTCCTGCTCTCCCAATGCTTTGAACCACTTTTACATCTTCCTTAATTTCTGGCATGTAGGCTGGGCTTGGTAGGGCTTCCAAAAAATACTGTGAAAGACAGATGCTATAATTTCATTTTTCACTACAAATGTGCAGCAGATAACTTGAATCAAAACCTAAGCATTGAAATTGTATTCTATCGGAGCAGTTGGGCAAAGAAGGGTTAGTTCCTCTTGAAGTAGGTCAGGGAAAACCTGAGATGAACTTTCAAGCGGACCCCTTAATTATTCCAGTAATCATTCATTATAAAATAAAAGAAGACTTAGCCAAAACTCAGTGGATGTTGAGCTATTAGAAATTCCTAAAGATCTATATTACGGCATGACATGATAGTCTGCTCAATGTTCTTGAAGGATTTCCACATTTGTTCCAATACAATCCCCATACAGGGATTTTTTTTATGTATGGAATGTGCCTATCACTAATATAAACACTATTGTTAAACAGTTCCCTTGTTTCTGCATGAAATTGTTGTCTCTGCTTGTCCACACTCAAGCTTTGAAGTGTTTTATTTTTTATTTATTTATTTTTTAAATATATTTTATTGATTTTTCACAGAGAGGAAGGGAGAGAGATAGAGAGCCAGAAACGTCGATGAGAGAGAAATATCGACCAGCCGCCTCCTGCACATCCCCTACCAGGGATGTGCCCTCAGCCAACGCACATGCCCTTGACCGGAATCGAACCTGGGACCTTTCAGTCCGCAGACCGACGCTCTATCCACTGAGCCAAACCGGTTTCGGCTGAAGTGTTTTATTTTTTAAATAAATCTTGATATTGCAATGTAACATATACAGAGAACAGCACACACACAACAGGGCTTGTGCTTGATGAATTATCATAAAATGGACCAGTCTGTAACCAACACCAAAGTCAAAAAGGACCCTTATCAGTATCTCAGAGGCTGTACTTGCGGCCTCTCCCATCAAATCCTTCCCACCTCCTCAAAGGCAACAACCATCCTGACTGCTTTGAATTTTAAAGCCAGAGAAAGGCAAGTACCATATGATTTCACTGACATATGGAACCTAATGAATGAAATAAACTAACACAATAGAAACAGACTCATAAATACAAAGAACAGACTGAAAGCTATCAGAAGGGAGGTGGAGGGCGGGGCGAAAAAGTAAAGATATTAAGAAAACAAACAAAAAACTCACAGACAGACAACAGTTTGGTAATTACCAGGAGTAAAGGGGGATGGAGAAAAATAGGAGAGGGTAAAGAGGAGAAATAGTGATGGAAGGAAACATGACTTGGAGAGGTGAACACACATACAATATACAGATGATACATTATAGAATTGTACCCCTGAAACTTGTATAAATGTATTATTCAATGTCATTGTAATATAGTCAATTAAAACTAATTAAAGATGGTTAAAATAATCCTTATAGCTTTCCAACTTGAATAAATAAATATACAGTACTAAATTATCTTTGTCCAATGAATAGTTTGATGTACTTTTTTCCCATCAACGTCAACTTCCACACAATCATGCCTTCCTCCCTCCTAATGAGGTTGATAGGAACAGGTGACATGGATGATGTTTCACAGCCCCAGCATCACACTTTTGTAAGGCCTAAGGGATCTGTGGAAAAGGCTTCCTTCTAGGAATGTACAGAGAGTAGTTGGGCATTATAACCCCTGACATGGCCCCCAGTGCTCTTTGCTCCCAGGTATTCATGCCCTTGTATAATCCCCCTCTGTGGATCCATGCTGACCTAGTGACTGGCCTCTAAGGACCAGAATACTGTAAACACCGTGAATGCAATGGGATGTCACGATTGACATTGGCATATGATCCATCTTGTTCCACTCGCTCTCCGTGTCTTACTTGCCCTCGAGGAAGCCAGCTTTCATTTTGGGAGCCACCCTAAGAAAGGGCTACAGGGCAGAGAACTGTGTGGCCTCCTACCAACAGACAATGAACAACTGAGACGCTCAGTCCAGCAACCTGTGAAGACCTGAATTCTGTCAACCACCTCATGAGAGAGCCTACAAGGACTGACTCCCCTAGTGGAGGAATGAATGCAGTCCCAGCTGAAGCTTGGATCACAGGCCCAGGAGGGAGAAGCTCCTCAGCAAGCCATGCCCAGATTCCTGACCCACAGACACTGTGAAATAAGTGTTTATTGATTATGGTTGCTAAGTTTTGAGAATTTTTGCACAGGAATTTGTGCACCTAATGCACAGGAAGAAAGGAAAAAGCTGGACTGATCAATTAGATGGCAACAGTGCTGGTCTATTACCATGAAGTATATATTTCCCACTGCTCAACTCTCGTGGTATATCTTGGCTGCTGAGCCTACAGCTGAGAGTCACTAAGTTTCTGCCATATTTGAAATCTAGAAAATTTCTTCTGGATATAGTACAGAATAGTGGCACTTTGTGATAAATCAGTGGAATCCCAAGATCTTATTAATATTATAGTTTATTCTCACAAGTTAACTATCTTAAGCGCTCATCAACATCTATTGGGCTAGGTAAAAAGGTACATACACAAAAATTACTACACATGGGCCCTGACTAAGGATCTTAACATTTTTATATGTTATATCGAAGTTTTATATATCAGAGTGAATATAAAAATCAAGGCCTATGTAGAAAAGTAGATGGGTTCCCCCTATGAGTGTCTAGAGCTTCAAGAACACCAAAGGTCACCTCATCCCACAGAGACTGGACTTGATTTTACTTCCCTTGCTCCCACCCACACATACACGCAGTGGCTAGCATGAATCTCTGCAGAACCAGCCATTCTTCACCCCACATCCCCAGAGTTCATCTACAGTTTGACATTTTTTACCTTTAATGTGCTATTCAAGGTTCGGATTTTGTGGAGTTTCTCATTTATGGATGGATTTTTACACCGCCTCACAAAGGACTTTCTCAACTCCTTTTTGGTTGAAGGTCGCCGGTCCCCAAGCGGAGATAGACTGGCTTGCTCTAATGACTTGTAGAGCTTCTCCATTTCATCATCTCCAGACACTCTGGTTTCTTCTATGAAAATTTTAAAAAAAGCAATAACAATAAACCCAGTTAAAATCAAGGTGAGAACACTGAACACGGTGGTCCTAAAACAAGGCCCTGCTGACACAATGATCTCAGACTTCGAGCTTCCAGAACTGTGAAACAATAAATTGTTGTTGTCTAAGCCGCTCAGTTTGTGAGTTTATGGTACTTTGTTTTGGCACAGTCATGCTCTCTTTAAGATGCGAGGGAAGGAAGGATCTGTTCCAGGCCTCTCTCTGTGTTTCTGTTGGTTCCTTGCCTTGCAGCAGAATAACTCCATCTTCACAGGGAGTTCTCCCTGCATGCATATCTCCGAATCCAAATGTGTCACTTTTATAAGAAGACCATTCATACTGAACTAGGACTCACCCTACTGACCTCATCTTAACTAATTATATCTGCACCTACTCAATTTCTAATGAAGCCATAGCCTAAGGTACAGGGTGGTCAGGACTTCAATATAGGAGTTGTGGAAGAACACAATCAAACCAACAATAATTCATCATCTAGCTAGCCAAAATTCATGTCCTTCTCACACGCAAAACATATTCATGCCATCTCAACAGCTCCAAAGTCTTAACCCATTCCAACATCAATGCTAAGTTTAAAATCTAATCCAAATATCATCTATTTCTGGTATTGGAGAGACCCAAAGAATGACTCATCCTGTGGCAAAATTCCTCTCCATCTGTGAACCTATGAAACCAAAAGAGTTATATGCTTCAAAAATACAGTGATAGGACAGGCAAACCCTAGCAATCTAATACACACCCTAAGGCTTCAGAACCACTTTCCCAGATGACACTGAACTTCCCATTGAAAGAAACCTGCCTGTGGTCTGTGGCTCTGAGCAGATAATGGTTATTCTTTCTGCTTCCTCCACTCACATTCCTAACTAGGCCTTTCCAGCCTCAGCCCAAATGCTTCTAGTGAAGCAACTCTACCTGAGAACCAGGGGACCATTTGTGCTCGGCTAATCCAATGGCAGCTCCATCATGCTGGCCACAGTCGTTGATTTAGGGATGAGCCTGGGTTTCAGGGCAGGCCAGCTGGAGCCAGGGACCTCAGTTCTGAACTTCGGTTTGGGGTTATCACGGAGTCAATCTCCCTTTTTCCCTAAACTGAGTAGTGTGATGATGTGAATTAGAAGATTCCAGAAATCATCCCAGGAATCATGAGAATGGAGCCAATCTATAGACATGGCCAAGACATGCATTTTAGTGACACCACTGGAGTTCTCAGCCTACGAGAGCTTTCTCTCTCCCTCTTCCTTCCTCTCTGAAAACAATCCTATCTAATAAAAGGGTAATATGCAAATTAACCATCACTCTGTCACAAAGACGGTGGCTCCCATAGTGGCAGGGGCACTGGATGCTGGTGGCATCGCCCCAGCAACAGGCCCTTGTGTCCCATGTGCCCTGGCCCATGGAGGGAGGGCGAGTGGGAGGGACTCTGGCCAGAGGCCAGCTGGGGCACAAGACACTGGCATCATTGCAGGCCGGGGTGAGGGACCACCCCATGCATGAATTTTGTGCACCAGACCTTTGGGGGATATATATATATATATATATATATATATATATATATATATATATATATATATAGTGGTAACATAAAAGGGAAGGTGGGGGTGGATGAGTGGGTGGGGAGAGATTAACCAAAAAACTTATATGCATTAGGACTTTACTTCTAATAAGTTCTAAATACATAGCCTTCAGGACCACAGTATTTTTAAAGTAAGTATTACATATTTAATAAACTTTAAGAAGCAAATCAAGCAAGCATATAGCAAAGATATACAGAATGGTTTCTTTAAGTTTCTCTCTGCTCACTAAGCTGTTAAGTTATTCTACTAAAATGTATGACAGAAAATAAAATTACTCTTGTCTAATATATTAGTTTATAATTATGTCAGCTTTAGTAAAATGATTATATTATGTATCTAATTCACAGATATTAAATTGGTGAAGATAAAAAACAATTAGAATCTTAGAATAATGTGACATAAATACATTCCATAAGTGAAAGATTAAAAAGGACTGCCTTTTGGATAATATTTATTATTGTTTAACATACTTATATCAGTATATGTTATCTTTATGTTAAAATATCAGAAGCATCTCTCTTCTACACACACATATTCCTTTCCTTCACTTCAACTTTGGGATATTAGCAATGAGAATATAGGGGTGTGTGTGTGTGTGTGTGTGTGTGTGTAATTTTAAAATTAAAACATAGGTAACAGGGACCTATTAATATTATTGAAAGTTAATACACAGTTAATACCTAAAATATGAACAAATAATATTCTCTATTAGGATCCGTTTTGGAACTAGAGATAACAGTGAGATAAGGTTAAAGTTCTTGGAGAAATAAGTAGGAAAATGAAAGGCAAATTATTGTACTATTCTTACTTCTCTGTTATCATCTCTCCTTAGCAGAAACTTTAAACTGAAAGCCTCTGTGTCTAACTTCTAATAACCTGACTCCAGAATAGCCCACAAGCGTAAGGACAATAAAATAATAAATGGTGTTGTGAGTCATCAAATAAAAATATCCTTACTGGCTTATTTGTATCATAATCTGAGAAGCGTACAATGTATTGCTAGATACTCAGGATCTAACCATGCCCGCACCTAGACAAGGACTTTATATTGTTTTCACTGCTGCTAGTGGTGAGTCCTTCCCTGGTTGCTATATGGAAGATCAGCACTGGCCTGTTAGCCCACAGTTCTATTCCTGTACCTTTAAGTGGCTTCTCTGTAAAGTAATATTGTAAAAAGCTCTCTTTCCACATTCTTATGTCAATATTTTTCTAAATTATAATCACATATCAGGAAGCACAAGATTATGTCTCCTATTTTACCGGATTGTAAAGAGAGCAGGAAAAAAAGGTGGGCAGGAAAGACCACGGCTCTCTCCCATTGGAAACAGCAGCCAGTTAATTATTTCCACTTCCTGTGGCCTCCGATAGGACATAGAAGGAATTCTGTCCGACAGCCAACTGTTTCCAATGCAATTGTTGTCCTTCCTCTCCAGAGTGTATTTTAGTCTTCTCCCATAAATTAACAGGACTTCAATTCCCTTCTCTACATAAGGCACTTCATTGTCTAGCTCATCTAGCCTCACCAGTGCTTCACCAGGAAAGGTGAAAACTATGTTTATGTTATGGAAAAAAAAAAAAAAAAATGGAGATTCTTAAAACACAGTAAGTAATCTTTCCCAAGGTAAATACATGATGGAATTAAGAATAAAAATTCAATCCTACAAGGCGCTGCTAGACCAGTCTTCTCAAACTTTCATCGGCAAAAATCACCTAGAGATGGTGTGACAATGCATATTCTGATTAAGTCGGGCCAGGAAGGTGCTGCGATTCTAAATGTTTAATAAACTTCCAGCACTGTTGGCCCATGGACCACACTTAGAGTAACCAAGCTAGACTGTGTCATCACTATGTCAGGATTGTGTCGCTAGCCTCAACGCATCAGAAGAGAAAAGGACTGGAGCCACAGTGAGAAAGGTGGGACTTGTCCAGACAGTGGCGTCTATTTGCTCTGAGCCACATCCTAATGAAAAATGTATATATTTACATCTTTGTTCACAGGCGTATGTCCAGAATCCCTGCTCTAAAGCATGGCATCTCGTAGTTGAGTTGGCACCATTTTGAGGGGAAGGTTGGTGACACTTGACATCTGTTAGATCAGCTCAGCAAGCCTCGAGGGGGCAGACTAGAAAACTTTCTCTAAACTTAGGCCAGTAATCGAATAATTTAGACTCAGGAAAGACATGGTATTTTGTTAACACAATCTTTCTTGGTGATATTAGTGAGACATAACAACAGTTTTAACTAATGGTTAGAAGTTCATTCCTTTCCAAGATTATGTCAAATGAATGTGCTGCTCCCTCCCCTTCCTCCCATGCATTTTAGCCTATTGTCTGCTTCAGCTGGGACAGGCATGCTCCAGGGGCCAAGAATTCACTGTCAGCAGATTCTCTCCTTAAAAGCTGTATTTTCAACTTTGCCTCCCCCACTATTTTATTTTTAGTGTTTCCTTGTGCTTTCTAGAATGTGGTTTTTATTTTCTTTGTAGAACATAAATCCTGGCTTCAGAAGACAAGGGGAATTCATATGCCATATTTTATATTAGAATTTGAAAGGGAACCTTTGGAGATTAAAAAAGCCTAAACGATGCTCCAAAGTAGACAATGTTAGTTTCCAAACACGAAACACTTGGAAAGGTTTAGGCAGAAAGTGTCTCTGGTTCCACATGCTACAGGAGATATGAGTGTGCTGGAAAACTCATCCTTGATTCCTCTCTTTTCTTCACACATTTGATTCATTCATTTATTCAACTCATCCATCAAATACTCTGTTAATGTCCACTGTGTGCTGGGGATGGACTTAAACAGAGTATACTTTTTTATGAACCTTACATTCTCACATTCTCATATTTTATCTTTACAATATATCCTAAATATATGTATTTTCTTTTCTCCCCTGTACCCTCATCGCTACCATCTTAATCCAGCCAACATTATTCAACTGTTGGCCCATTTCAATAGCTACATGTCTATGTTAGCTTCCTAATATCCATTTTCCACATAGTGAAGTCATCTCTTAAAAATGAGCATCAACCTATGAGCCAGGTGGTCACAGTTCAATTCCCAGTCAGGGATCATGCCAGAGTTGCAGGCTCCATCCCCAGTAGGGGACATGCAGAAGGCAGCCAATCAATGATTCTCTCTCATCATTGATGTTTCTATTTCTCTCTCCCTTTCCCTTTCTCTTTGAAATCATAAAAATATCTATTTTTTAAAATGTAAACCACACCATAACATCCCCAGCTTCAATTTCTCCAAAAACGTATGACTGCATTTGGAAAAAGACCCAAACATCTTAGAAGACCCAGAATGCCACTTAGTTCTCCAATCCCTTTCTATGCCTCCCCAGCCCACTCTGCTTCAGACACTACAATTACTCATGTCTG